CTTGGCTACAAACCTGAACAGCATGCTCCTGTACTGAACAGAATACTGTAGGCAACTGAAACACAACGCATTTGTGTGTCTCAACACATCTAAACACAGAAAAAGCACAGTAAAAATACTGTATAAAAGGTACAAAGCAGTACACTTCTATACAGCATTTAACAAGGATGAAACTTGCAGGGCTAGAAGTTGTTCTGGGTGAATCAGTGAGTGACCGTGAAGGCCTAGGACATTACTGCACAATACTGTAGACCTTATAAACACTGCACACTTAGGCTACATTTATAAAAAGCTTTTCTTCAATAAATTAGCCTTAGCTTACTGTACTTTTACTTTATAAACTCAAATTTGTTAACTTTTTTCACTCTTTTGTTATAACACTTAGAACACAAACACATTGTACAACTGTACAAAATATTTTCTTTACATTTTTGTAAGTTTATTTCTAACTTTTTCCCTTTTTAAAAAAAAATTAAGTCACATAAACACATTAAGCTAGGCCTACACCAGGGCAGGATCATCAATATCACTGTCTTCCACCTCCACATCTCATTCTACTGGAAGGTCTTCAGGGGCACTAACAAGCATGGAGCTGTCATCTTGGATGACAACGCCTTCTTCTGGAATACCACCTGAAGGACGTGCCTGAGGTTGTTTTACAAAATGTCGTTATGTGGTGGTACATGACTGTATATTGCTGGATTTGACTTGCTTATATTTCCTTGAACTTGTTTGATGTATAGATTGCTTTTCATCAAGTTTGGCACATTATTGGCCATTATTTGTACTTTTTCTGTCTCCTCCTCTCCTCTTCTAGTATTCCCATTATGAGCATATTTGTGTCCCACATTTCTCTAAGGCTCCATTCATTTTTCTTCACTTTTTTCCAGGTCCAGAATTTCCATTTCTGTGTATAGAAATGGTGTGTGTCCACTATACTTCATTGATACAGTCATTGTCATCATATCTCCCTTCAATTAAAGTTTCTTTAATTTCTTTGGAGATACTTATAATAGCTGCTTTGAAGTCATTGGTCACTAAGTTCAACATCTGGTTCTCATCAAGATAACTTCTAGTCTTTTTTCCTGTGTATGAATCACATGTTCCTCTTTCTTTGCATGCCTCATTTTACTGCACTGAACACTTTAGGTACTATTGTTGAAGCTCTGGATGACACTCTCTGCTCCAGGTTTTGTCTCTGTTGTTTATTCACTTATTTGGTGACCTGGCTAGACTAATCCTGTGAAGTCCATTCCTCCAGTGTACAGCCTCTAATGACTCCATTTAGATTTTTTTGTTTTTGTTTTTAAATCTGGCTTCCTAAGGGTCATCCTTGGGTCAGTACAGTTTAGTAGTCAGCCACTGATAGATTAGAAGTTGTGCTTAAAACCCCCGAGCCAATAAAGTTTTTTGTTTTGTTGTTTTAGAGACAGGGTCCTGCTCTGTTGCCCAGGCTGCAGTGCAGTGGGCAATCTCAGTTCACTGCAACCTCCGCCTCCCGGGTTCAAGTGATTCTCCTGCCTCAGCCTCCCTAGTAGCTGGGATTATAGGCACATGTCACCACGCCCAGCTATTTTTTGCATTTTTAGTAGAGATGGGTTTTCGCCATGTTGACCAGGCTGGTCTAAAACTCCTGACCTCAAGTGATCCACCTGCCTCGGCCTCCCAAAGTGCTGGGATTACAGGCGTGAGACACCGTGCCCAGGCCCAATATGGTTTTCATTCTTTACTGTTTACTCTGTAGCTTAGAGACTGCTTTCACACTTCAGGGAGTTTACTATTTTGTCCTACATTTAGTGAGGAACTAATAGCAAAGCAGTTCCTTCTTCAGTTGCTTCTGAGAGAATGCAGATTTATGTATGTGTACATTTTTCCATATCACCAACTATGACCATGATTTTAGCAAGGCCTCCGTTGCTCTTTCTTTGCTCTCCCTTCTAAACTTCTGGCTGGTCTTCCTCTGTACGTATTATACCATGCTGCTAGTCTGCACATATTGCTAATTGGTTATCCTATTCTTATGAGCAATTCCTAGAGTCATAAGTTGCTCCACAGGACAAATAAAGTCAGGTTTCTCAGGAAGGGCCAAGGTCTTGCCAGTCTTTAAGGTTTGCACTGACCCCGCTCCCTTGGGAGAGCCTCTGCATTATGAAGCAGTATCTGGAGGGGATAGGAGTTCCAATTTGGGCCATGCCTGCTGGAATACCTCTTCCACAATAGCTCTTCTGCAACATGACGTTGGGTGGGAAAATGAATGCAGCCTCTAGCTCAGACGTTATGACCCCCACTATTATTGAGTTCTGTAAAGTTTGAATATATTGAGTTTCAATTTATTGCGAATCCTCTGATCACTCTCCAGAGACTGTGAATGATTGCCTGTGCTAATTTTAACCAATGAAATGGGTATTCCTCTGGGAAGAAGTTCCATTGAACTCTTCATAGTGCCACCTAGAGGTCCCCCACATTCCAATTTTCAATTGATTATGCAGAAAGTGCTAATCAAGTTTGGGAATTTAACCTAGTCCATGAAGCTGATTACAAATGCAAAAATTATTCATTTCTCATTCTTAAACGCTGGAATTAATGATTACTTTAAAAAAATTATATGCTATGTTCTCTCTTATTACCCCAACTAGCAGAAAATTGGATACAAACGGATGCAAGGGCAAGGTGGAATGCAAAAAAAACTCAGTCTTGTTCAATTTCATAGGTGTCATTATATCTAAGGCTGGAATACTCAGAAATGCCCAGGATGTCAGTCTATTAAATATGTGCTCATTCATTCATACTTTTTGCATTTTGTCTGAAATGGCTCAGGCAATCTGTTTGCCCATGAAGGTAAACTATAATAAATGCAAATTATCTCAGTAACAATTACACAGAGTAACTTTTCTAGTAGACAATTCTACTATGTTAATAAAAGTTATGTGTGACACCATTGACTTAGTCTTTCCAGATCAACCCCAAGATCAAAAGGAAGGAAAAAGTATAATAAAAAGGAAAACAAATGTTAGAATTCTAATAGGAACTTTAGTATCAAACATTAAGCCAATATTAATAATGGCAACAATTCTACACAAACACTCAGTAAAGAAAAATACTTTTTGTGAATGCCAAGTGTCTACTTAAAAATAAAAAATAAAGAAAAATACTTTTTGTATAATTGCAATAATAAACCAAATTTTCCATTTCTTTTATCGTCTAGACATGTTTTGCACTGAAGCAAAATAGCTATTCTTTATTTAACTATTATGGTTTTTGCCATGAAAAATATTTTTCAGATAACTATATTTGGCTTATTTGTACTGCCATATAAATAATCTTAAGTAGGTAAAAAATTAAAAGAAATATGCACAAAAAAAGGTATCCAGGTACATCTAAGTATTTTATTTGTGGGGAAAAAAGATACCCAGGGAATCATTATTGAACAAAAAGACACACCTAAGGGAAAAATTATTTTTCTTCTGGAACATAAATTTAAGTTTAGAAAAGTTTCTTTAATGATAAAATAATCAAATCCCTTCTCACAATGGAAAGTTCTACATGATCTTAAGGACCAAAACATCATGATCTGAAAAGCTACGTGGAAAGTTATTTGCAGTACAAACTCTATCACATTTACTTAAAAAGCGGCCGAAGTTGCTTTTTTTCCAGGTATACAGGCAACATTCCACATCATTCAATACTATCTTCCTTTTGTTGAAACACTTTCTTCTGATGGCTTCCAGAATATCAGTCTCCTGATTTTTCTTATAGGTCACTGGTGGGTCCTTCTCAGTCCTTTGCTGGTTCCTCTTCTTCTCCTCTACTTCTCAATGATGACATATCTTAGGTCTCCATCTTTTGCCACCTTCTTTTCTCTAGCTGTACTACATGATCTCATCCAGTTACGGTTATTCCCTAATGACTCTCAAATTAATTTTTCCAGTCCCAAATTGTACCCTGAAGCCAGACTTGGATATCCAAATGCCTACACAGCAGCATTTCCAACCTTATATAGCCAAAACAGAACTTGATTCCACATTCCTCCAAACCTGTCCCTTCTCCAGTACACCTCATCTCTGAAACTCAGAATTCACCCATTCTGTCCCAGTGGAATTCATCCTGGGATGCAAAGATGATTCAACATATACAAATCAGTAAATATGATATATCATGTTAACAGAATGAAGGACAAAAGCCATATGACAATCTCAAAAGATACAGAAAAAGCATGTGACAAAATTCAACACATGTTATCCCCATTCCCTACCTTTTCTTTATAGCACTTGATATGTTGTATTTCCTTATGTTGTTATTGTCTGTCTTCTCCATTGGAATGTAAACTCCATAAAAACAGGTACTTTGGGCTGGGTACAGTGGCTCATGGCTGTAATCCCAACACTTTGGGAGGCCAAACTGGGTGGATCACTTGAGGTCAAGAGTTCAAGACCACCCTGTCCAACATGACAAAACCCTGTCTCTACTAAAAATACAAAAATTAGCTGGCCACGGTGGCAGGCACCTATAATCCCTGCTGCTCAGGAGGCTGAGGCAGGAGAATCGCTTGAACCAGAAGGTAGAGGTTGCAGTGAGCCGAGATCATACCACTGCACTCCAGACTGGGCAACAGAGTAAGACTCCATCTCAAAAAAACAAAAAACACAGATACTTTGTACTGGTCACAACTGGATAACCAGCACACAGAAGAGTACCTGGCACAGAGTAAGGAGCTCAATAAATACTTATTGAATCAATTAATGAGTCAATGGACGAATGGGATTTCTAGTCTGAACGCTATCCAATAATATAATTTAGGGTTTGGTTTTCTTAATGGGGAAAAAAAGAACCCCAAGTATGCATCCTTAAAGACAAAAATTAATTCAGCTTGATTCTTCTCAAATGATATAAATTTTATTAGAAGGGAGAGTTATTCAGTAGCACTGAGGCAAAATTCTATAGTAAATTTTCACAAGATATTCTAGCTATTATTAATTTTTTTTAAACTTCAGACTTCCTTCTGAAAGTAAAATTTCGGTTAGTTTATTTAGTCCTCAACACTTAAAAACTGAAGCCACAGACACACACATATATATACACACACATACACACACACACACATATATATATATATATATATATATATATATATATACACAAACAAAATAGAGCAGTTTCATGAAATGAAACATATATAGGAATGTCTTGATTACCCAACAAATCCTCTCGCCTTCATTCCCTCATCAAATTGCTACGATTGAAGGCCCAGGAAGTTACCAGCTACTTAGGGCTTTTAGAGCCATACGTATTGCATCCTGTTAATTTGGTGCTCGTGCTATTGTTCACAGTAAGAAAAATGGGAATGTCCCCAGAGGCAGCAAAGTATTTTGCATGTGTATGTCTGTGAATTACCTGTCACCACATATTACTGCTGTCTTCCATCAATGCAGCTCATAGTATACAAAAACGTGGAAAAAATCCTACCACAAAACAGATGTGTCTTTTTATATACAATTTGGTAGAATGCAGAGCCTGATGATGAAGGGGTCATTTTTCACTAGTAGGCTAAAGAATTTACATCTTGAAAAATCAGTTAGCCACGCCAAGGCTCTCCTAAGCCATGAACAGAAGGCCAGTCTGAGTACTCCTTGAGGGTGGCAGTCAGTGAAATGAAAATAGGAACTCAAGATGAGCCACTTTGCCTCTAGCATCAAGGAAGGAGTTTAGTCCAGTATGCTCAGTTTATGTTAACATTCATTTAATACTGATTGTTGTAGTTTATGCCCTCTGCTCTGGTAACGGAAGAACGATGAACACTACTTCTTATAAAAAGTTTCAGGCCTTGTAACCCCTGTGAAAATAAATAGTCCAAATACCAGCTCCATTTCTTTCCCTGCAGGCACAGAAAAAGGAAAATTACTTATCGAATATTTTACTATGGTTTTTTCTCTATTTCCTCCTCTTTCCCTAGAAAGAGTTCACAGGATCCTGTATGCACCTATCAAAAGTTAGTTCAAGGAGGAAATAAGCTCAGTCACTAAGTAACATTTAAATCAGGAAGTACCCAATTCCAAGGGCTAAGCATCCATTTTATTTGTTGGCAAAAAAAAAAAAAAA